AAATAATTGAGCTGCAAATCATCATAGCTTCAATGTTTCTAAACTTATACGCAAGTAAATTATAATTTTAATGTTTTCAAAAATGTTTAAGTCTTGCAATAGCTGCAAGGGTATATAAACTTCGGCTTGCCGAAGTTTGCTTTCTTTCTTGTTTTAATATAATATTATCAATATTATTTTCTCAGGCTGTCCATTACAGTCCTTCAAAATTTGAAATTATAAATTAGTTCGGATGGGTTTTTTAATTATCTCAAAGTGAACACCAAATTTATTTTTCATTTTCTACACAAGACGTGGAAAATAGAGACTCCCCAGTCGAAACTTTTAAGACATGACTCACAATTACCAGTAGACGGTCCCAGTCACAAATAGACACGAGTCGCACTCCAGGAGTGCGTCACTTCTGGCGCCCCTTCTCCTTCCTTCCCCGGACAAGGCGCTGCTGGAGATGCATTTGCATGCAAAGGCAATCGGTAATATCTTTCTCAGGGCCGATGTCTTTGGACTAAAGACTACCCAGGGCGGCGTTAATTAAGTCGACAAAATCTTTTGAGTCTGCGATTCAAAGTGGAATGCGATCGACGAGCCCCTTCTGCCTTCTGGTCTTAAAAAAATTTCATTTTATTTTTTTTCCGAGAATGTGAATCTCATTGGCCAAGCAGAAAAAATAAAAAAAATAAAAGAAGAATTAAATTATTTTTCCGCATTAGAGATTGTCAAATGACAAATGAAATCTTTAAACGAAAAATAGGTGTAATAAGAGGCTGACAAACAGTAGGTCGACGCATAGGAAAAGGAATAAAAAAATCAAGGCAGAAGCCCCGACAAGACATTAATATCGTTACAAATGTCACCCGACAAAAATTAAATCTTCCCACTAATTGGATACAAATGCGACTTTTCTAATGTTAGCCGAGATCAGACAGGGTAGGGGCAGAAAACAAATGAGGCTTCCTTCTATCGATGATTAAAAAGCTCGACGTACTATAAAAATCGATATTGTTTAGCAATCTCGGCACGCAAATTGCAAATCGCCAGCACGTTGCCATGGCCTAAACGAGGGAGACACAAGGAAGTGTGGTGGCTAGTGGTTGGGGGTGCAGTCTGTATGGGTACTGCAAACTAATTAGCAAGTGCCAAACATTCTGCTGTCGGTGATACACCTGAATATCCAGTAAGCTGTTGTTGGCTATCAAGTGCTTGCACCAAGTGCGAGCTCATGAAAAGCCCTACATCAAAAGACAAGTTCAGATTCTAAGTTCAGACTGTTCTCATTCCGTGGTATCGGCATTTTTTTCGTTTAATTATCACAATAATGTGTTATCATTCTTTTGGGGGATTGATTTTTTTTTTGGTAAACAGCTAAAAATGTTTGCAAGCTATTGCGTATTAAGAAAATTTTGTACTCTTTTAAAAAACATTTAAAAAAAAGCGCCCGTTTAAAAATTGCAAAATCGACCCAAACAACTAAAGCCGTCTAAATAATTATACTCAAACAGTGCCAACAGGCAAATAGCGGAAATCACGTTTTTACACTGCTGACGTTCGAGTGGCTAATGAATGGGTGCTTCGGGTAGGGGTTGGGGTGGGCTTGAAAAAAGCTGATCCAAGTCGGCTTCCGACTAACAGCGAAGGGGAAAGATAAGTTGGGGCTGGTTGTGAGTGGACAGCACTCGGGAGGTGTGTAAAGATGTATGACGTCGTTGCCAGCGCTGGCTTACACATGTTCTGGCCTCCCCGACCACCTACGGGCGGACTCAGTGAAACGACAAACACTAGAAGAATAACAATCCGGTAGTACGCCGCAGTGGTATTTTTAGCTCTTTACACCGTTCACCGCCAACCCCGCGCTCGGAACGTGGCTGCGAAGAAGGCGACTCACAAGTAGCGGGTGTTAATATTTATATGGATATGCATATTTATATATTTATATGCACTCTTACACCACTTCCAAGCAAATGCATTGACACTACGAGAGAGTTTTTCAGCCTAGAGGTGCAAGGTTTTTATTGGCTTTATCGCCGAGTCATAAAGCAAAGTGCATCATAAATATTTACAAGTCTGCACCGCAATGTGGCGACGATTCCGACGAGTCCTTCTTGGCCAATGTCCAAGGCTCCGGAATGACAAAATCGTTTCGAGTCCAAGGCAAATTAATTAGCTAAAAACCTACAAATTAAGCTTGATATTTTTTCTCAAAGCTGTTTTCATCAACCCAAATAATTTTCGAATGTCCTTGCTTTGAGTTTAAAATAGCACACCAACCGCTTTCCCCTTGAACATCATCCAATTATGACCATTTACGACCACTACTCAGAGAACATAATGATGAGATGAAAATGGCACAACTATAGTAAAGCTCTGATGAATGGTTGAAAGATAATTTGCAGAGAGAATGATATTAAAATGCACTTACCAAATAAAGACGAGCATTATAAATTGGGCAGTCAGCCAATAGCCCCCAAAGCACATCTTTCATGGGCAAAAACAATTGAAAACAAAAGTGGAGAAATTCAGAAACTTAATGGCTACCAGTTCTCAACAGCTGGCAAGTAATTATACCCTTTACATGCTCCAGTCAAGAATATCAGGAAATCCTATCGAAGGAATAGGAAACAGCAACAAGAAGGAGGAATGGAGGGGCTGCCTTTGCTTGTTGCACTCCGTCAATCCAAATTACGTCCATGCATATTAGAAAACGTAATGTCTACAATGTAGGCTTCTCATTTTCCCATCATACTATCAGTAGTATAAAACAAGGAAGCTGTTCCAACCACTGTGATAAAGCAATTTCTTGGCTCGTGAACATAAGTATCATAAATCGTTGCATGCTAGATAACTTACTTTTCTAAAAGCAGTGAGTACTAAAAACATTTAGGAAATACATGGATAAGTAAGGTGCATTCATTCGAACTGGCTAAAATGCTTTTGCAACTATTATTTAGCTTTTGCATTGTACACCCTTCTGTTTTATTTATGGCATAATAGCAGTATTTGTGTTTTTTTAAATAGGTCTTGCTTATTATACACTGCAATACAATAACTTGTTAACCATCGGGCAGAACAAATAAGGACATAATATACGTTTTTTTTTACTAACGCCTCTGCCTCACTTTTTCCCGCTTTGTTAAAAAATATCTTCAACAAAAATACTGAACTGTGTTAACTTCGGCGTAGACAAATTAATTCCAAGTTTTTTCCCATGTCTTATCATTGGCGTGGTTTCTTTTCCTTATTTTATATGCAGAGCCAATCCACGCACACATATTTTGATAAAACAAGACACTCTATTGTATTTGCAGACAATAAAATGCTGGTAACAAGATTGTCATTTGAGGCACGTTTTTGCAAATCACGTATAAAACAAACACAAAAATATCAGAATAAATAGTAAAATTTTATTTTTAGCTTTGTTTTAATCTACTGACAGTTTTCTCTTCCTTTTTCTACCTTTGCGTCTTTTATTTGTTTCTTGCTCTTTTGTGTGTATGTATATATGTACACCAATTCTACTTCTTCATACACATATACATTTTTGGTGAATACTCTTCGCACACGTTTAAAGAAAAGGTTTGATAAAAATTAATTAAATCATTTAAATTTCAAAATGCCTAAGTGGTATCATTAAAATGACAATTGATTAAAATTAAACTACTTCTTCAAAACTCGAAGAGAACGAAAAAAGTCACTTTTGGCTTTCCGTGAATAAAAGTTAAGACAAAAGTTAAAGTTGTTTAAGACTCAAAAAAAATATATATATAGTGTACACAAATAAACAAAGGCAAATCGTTTCATTGCCCGCTGGCTATTCGCCAAAATGAATAAATGCGAATTTTAAAAATAAACAGAAAGAAGTGCAATAGCCGCCACATGCGCCAAACAAGTTGTTGTAAGTAAACAAATACCTATGCACAAGAACAATCGAAGAACATTCTCTGGGGCTCCCATAATACTATTTTATTAATTTTTGTCGAATTCAGTATCAAGAATTTCAACATCGTACAATGACAACAAATGATTTTGCTGTTCCGGTTATACGACTAGCATTAGTATTATTTATAAAAAAAAATCTATACTTCTTATAATTCATGTTTTAGTATTATCAAGCTTGGCAGAAGGACAAATTCTTCGAGTCTACAAGTCGTGTCGGCTGTTGATTATGACCGGAAATGCTTTGTATATCTACTTATGTATATACTTTTGCACGGTTAACCTATACCCTTATTATTAATTTTAAAATAGGTTTTTTTCTGCCAACATTAATTTCTGGGTATAATATGAAATCAAACATGGCATTTTCAGAGTTTTATTTATTAAATATTTCAACTCGTAATGTACCACATTGGCAGACCTACATGTATGTTTATGCTGTTAGCGGCCACATTTTTGATTGTTTTTATATGCAACTGTTTAGAAAAAGAAATTTATATATGACATAAGGGCCTGAAAAACCGGTTTTAGTACATAGGAAGCTTGTATTATTTCTCATTAGCACAGATTTTAAAGTAGGCAGCAGAAAATGCATGTTGAAATCAACGAACGGACTTCTTCACTTTGTTGCCAAACTCAAATGAGTAAATATGTAAATTTGTATGGTTCTTATAGTCCCAAAATTCGAGTAATAATGTAGTATGTAGTTATCGGTCAGGTATCAACTTCAGTGAAAGACTGTCCGCATGCAAATTGTCAGTTATGCCTTGAACGCGGAGGCAGAAAAAGGCGGTTGCCGTCCAAACCAGATTCCGAACCACTTTTCAAAGTCAGAACAACTTTACACACCCACGCTTCATCCCATGGTATTGGTTTTTTGCGATGTACAGGGGTATATTGCTTTGCTCGCCTTAAGAAAAACTGAGCGTTACTGATAAAGCGCATATCGGGTGGGGCAACCTGGGACAGAAGGCGGCTAGTTCTGGCTTTGAGTATGGCAGCTTATCGCCTGATAACCACAGACCTCCAATAATTTTAATAAACTCTTCTTGTCGTTTTCGTTTCAGTAGCGAAAACACACTTGCTCAGAGGCAGATGCGTTATTCTGATTAGAAACAAAAACAGCTGAAAACCAACCGCAGTATGTATTTACGGGAAATGCTCTTACTGGCCTGTCTGGTGCTGCTGTTCGGGGGACTCCCACAATTCACTTCCCCTACAACGACCACCACCCTAGTGGCCGCCATGTCCATCGCCAATCAGGACTTGGAGCGCTTCTTTAGACCAGGAAACGGCACGCACACTTTCTCCGGAATGGAGGACCGAATTGCAGTGGACGTCTATAACTACGCCTTCCTCAACTGGTCGTACTTAGATGGTAGTACACTGTGCAACATGGACTTTGCTCAGGAGCAGGCTCGCTACGGTGAGGGCAAGGTGTTGAACGTCACGGGGCGTCTGGTCCACATCAGCGCCACGGAAAACGTCAGTGACGACTACGCCTGCACACCATACATCCGCGGAACTTTGGGAACCCCAACGCCAGACAAGGGTGTGACCTGGATAGCCTTGGTCCGCCGTGGACGCTGCACCTTTGAGGAAAAAGTTAAGCATGTTTACCAGCAGAACGCCGCCGGTGTCATTATCTACAATGACAAGCAGGTGATGCAGCTGGAGAAGATGCAGATCAAGGGCAAGACAAGTGAGATGGAGCGCTGAGACTAAGCTTCGCAGCCAGCTAATAATAGTGAATTTGTATTCGTCTAGGAAGCATCGCCGCAGTGATAACTTATCAGAACATTGGACAAGACCTAGTGGACAGTGTGGACAGGGGCAACAATGTCACCATCTCTATTATCGAGGGACGACGAGGAGTACGCACCGTCAGCAGCTTAAACCGGTGAGTTTTATCAGCTATTGGCAGTTGAAAAAGAAGAGACAAAAAAGGTAACAAAACTCCTTAGCATGGAGACGCCGGGGTTTGAACCCGGGACTTCTCACATGCGAAGCGAGCGCTCTACCACTGAGCTACGTCCCCTTAGAATCCTAGAAACTTTCGAGTATTTATTCAATTTGGATAATGTAATTTACAATAATATATTTAAAATTTAAGAAATCGAACAATAACCGAAATCTACAAACACTTTAAACTCAATATTGTTTTTAGTTTAATGGTTCTTTTAGCGGAATACTGCAAAGTGCGTTTTGATATCACTTGCAGCTCAGGTTTTTTAATTGCAACAGTAGTTTTTCAACTAAACCCTCAAAAAAAAAAAAAAAAGAAAATACAATTACGCACTTTGTTGGAGACGCCGGGGTTTGAACCCGGGACTTCTCACATGCGAAGCGAGCGCTCTACCACTGAGCTACGTCCCCATGTGCTATGGTTGTGGCCAACTGACAGTTACAAGCTGAGGCAACATTTGTCTAATGACCGAATACTGCTTTACCATCATGACGTCGGCAAGGCAGATTAATATATATTTTGTTTCATCGAATGTTAAACACTCTTATTTAATTTTAGATAACTACCCTTTCAGCGAAAGTTTATTCCGCGTTTTTCAAAATGCAATGGCAAAGAAAGAAAACTTTTTGGAAAAGTTTCAACTGAAAAGATTTAAAACGGCCTAGTTTGTTTGGTAACATAATCTTTCTTTTTAGTAAGCCAGAAGTAATTGGGTTTAACTCGTTAAAATTTAAGCAAAGTCAAAATTATACAGTATTCAGTGCTTACATTTTTCTTGCTGTATTTCATTTTTCCAATTTAATAAAATGAAACTAGTTCGGAATAGTTATTAAACAGCATAAACAAAAAAAAAAAAAAAAAGGAAAAAGAAAACTCTACACTTATATGGAGACGCCGGGGTTTGAACCCGGGACTTCTCACATGCGAAGCGAGCGCTCTACCACTGAGCTACGTCCCCTTGCCACATTCGCGCGACAATTTCCAAATACAGCCCCGGCATGTAATGTTCTGCTTTATCAACTACTAAAAAGCAGTTCAATTTATTGCTCTTTGACGAAATGATGAGGTTGTTATATATTTTTCAGAACGTCAGTGCTGTTCGTCTCCATATCATTCATCGTTTTGATGATTATTTCCCTGGTTTGGCTTATCTTCTACTACATTCAGAGGTTTCGGTACATGCAGGCAAAGGATCAACAATCTGTGAGCTGCGCATCTTGTTAAACATATTCATAGACTAATCCATTATATTTTCCCATGTAGCGCAATCTGTGCTCGGTTACCAAAAAGGCCATCATGAAGATCCCAACGAAGACGGGGAAAATCAGCGACGAGAAGGATTTGGATAGCGACTGCTGCGCAATTTGCATCGAGGCCTATAAACCCACAGATACCATTCGGATATTGCCGTGCAAGTAATTGATCTGCTCTCCTATCTTTCAATAGGATAACTACTGAACAGCATATTTTTAGGCACGAATTTCATAAAAACTGCATCGATCCATGGCTCATCGAGCACCGAACCTGCCCCATGTGCAAGCTCGACGTGCTCAAGTTTTACGGATATGTGGTGGGTGACCAAATATATCAAACTCCCAGTCCGCAGCACACAGCTCCCATTGCCGCGGTGGCTGTAGCCCATCCTTCCATCGAGGAGGTGCCCGTAATTGTGGTGGCTTTGCCGATGGGGCCGCAACCCCTCCAGCAGCTACAGGCTAGCAACATCAGTAGTTTCGCTCCTCGCCACTATCTCCCTCGTAGTCGTAGTCCTAGCAGTAGTATCCAGCAACAGCTACAGCCGCTTGCGTACCAACACCACCCGCAGCAGGTGGTAGCGGAGCTTGCCAGACGTAACTCCGCTCCCGCCACAATGCCGCACGCTATTATTTGTACTGCCAGCCATCAGGTGACCGACGTTTAAGATATTTCCAAGCCACCCACGAATTAGACTTATTGTAACATTCAACTTACTGTGTACATATTTACTATCCCGCGAGCAGGTATTCAATAGTAAGCTGTAATAAGTTACAATTATTTGTAAGATCCGAAATCCTTTCAACCAGACCAATGTTCATCTTGCTTTGGCAAAGACTTTGCATCGAAAATTGTAGTAAACATATAACATTACAGGAAAGCAACCTACATGATCCAATTACAAGCAAAGTTCATTCTTCTGTCAGCTCCAGTCATTAATAATTTTAACTGAGTTAGGTATTTAAAACTTAAACTGTGAGATTTTGTACGTACTATATGTGAATTTTAGGTATTGCTTAGAAAAAAAAACTTGATTATTGATTAGAAGGATTAACTTCTTTCTTGGCCTGACATTACAAGTGCTGATGACGATTCAGAGTAACCTAAAGGCTTTTTGAACTATGATATATTCACTTATTTGTAAATAAGCCCATTTAAAAACTGTGTACTTACAAGTGCCGATGAGAAGACTTCAATTTTAGTTTTTACAAGAACCCCACGCACATTTATATGTATCTAAGCAACATTACAAAATACCGCTAGAAGTTCAACTTGAAAACGGATTTATGAATAAATCGCATTACGGTTTAAGGTAAATGTTTAAGTTCTATGTAAGGATTAGAATTGTCGATAAAAGTAGACAAAGGAAATTACTTGCGAGTACTACAATAACTATGCCTACCTTAAATAATATACCAATACAATTATAAACAATGACTATATCTTATAGCTGTAGAAGATGTAATGTTAAATGCAATAATTATAGCAAAATCAGCGACTGTTTTGCTTGTCAAAGGCATGCGAAGTCGAGATATCTGCCGATTAGACACATAAAGAGATTCAAACACCAATCGCACTCAGCGCATATTGTTTATTAACGTTTTCTGTAATATTGAAGGTGCCAAAGTATTGCTTTTAGTTGTTCACATTGAATAAATCAAAAAATATTTTATTTGAATTATTTCGTAATGCCTGCGTCATTTATTTGCATTAATTTATTTTTGGTGGCTTTACAGAATGGTTGACTACGTTTTAAAACATTTTGAAGCTGCTCTTATAAAACCTTTCAATGTTAAATCCTTAGCATTTTTTAAGTTCTGAAATATGTTATCTGTTTGAAATACTCTAAAGTTTATCGAATAGCTAACTTGTGCCTATTGAAGATTTGTTTTGATTAAGATTGTTTTAGCTTCAATCTCAGAAAAAGACCATGCTGATCGGTTAAACTAATCGAAAAGACACAATATCTTTGCTAAACCCCTTTTACAAACTGTAGACTCAAACATTTTTAAGAACCAAAACAATAAAAATATTGAAATTTGAAAATGTATTTTAAAGTCGCCGCACCTTGCATTTAGAACTGCTTTCATCACCTTTTTCTTGGAGTCGAATCAGAGTGGAATTACTAGAAAGACCTATTTTGTTATAGTTTCTAGGCAGTGAGGAAAGTATTTTGGAGTACCAGCCGGATCCCCCGCAGGGTCTGACAATTGTGGAAGCAGGAAACGTCTCTGCTGAGCCTGTAACTGAAACGGCTCAAACAAGACCTAGCGCCTTGGCGGAACTTATTCGAAGCCGCGACTTTGTAATCGATTTTCCGCGAGTATTTGTCCTCGACAGCGGCAGTGTTGTTGGAGCCCGCGAAATGCTGTTTCCAACCCGACTACCCGAACGCTCGCAGAGCTCCCTATCGCTGAGACAAGCCCGTGATTGGATGAGCCTAATGAGCAACAAGCTCGAGGAACAGCAGGGTTTGCGCCGAATGCGCAAAGATGAAATGCAGCAGGTATGAAACGACGAAATAAGAAATTACACTTCCACTTTCACCTCCACTCAATTTTTTTCTTTTTTCAGCAACTTCTTAGTGCGCGGGAGTCGGCCCGCCACTGCCGGTCGCGATCTGCGGATGGGCGCTACTCAACTGGATGCTTTGGTGGTCGCCAGCGCCAGCCCTCTGTGCAGGCATCTGGCCAAGTGCAGCACCAATTTCCCTTCGATGTCGCCCAGCTTCGGCGCACCAGCTCCTCGCAGGCCTTGCAGCAGTTGACGGACGCCGCCTACGCCCAGTCGCGTCAGAGGCAGCGGGAAGCCTTTGACTTCGCTAGAACGCGGCGTCGCTTCATAAGACGTGAGAGCGAGGAGATATCCTTGCGCTCGCTACCCAGGCGAGGAGTAGTACATCGGGAGAGGGATTGGGAGGCCGATGCAAGTGGACCCTGTGACCAAATAACCATTCAAGTGAATGGTCAAGGTGTCGATCTCAAAGAGTGAAAAAGTTGCTTACGCTTATTTGCTGAAATAATTGTATAAAATATATTTTATCTATCTTAGAATCTGTTTAAAAAATGCTTAGCCGCCTTTGTGAGTAGTCATTTGAGGGATAGGGCATGCTAGACCTCTCTTTGCTCTTTGAACCTCATTCGGTTTACGCAAACCGAACTGAGGGCCCATTCCATGAAGGATATGCGTGTGCGCCTTGAGCATACAGTATAAACGCTAAACACGGCTTGATCCCAACAAACAGATACGTTGTTAAGGGCAGACAGCCAGGCAGCAGCAGAACCCACACACAGAAAAAAACAGCATTCGTAAAATCAAACATTGACTTCATAAAACTGCCACAACCTATTCAAAATAGGCAGTTGCTGAAAAATAGTAGTTTACCTTAAAAAAAATATTTTCTAAACAAAAAGCGGGTTTTTAACTCACAACTAGAAAACCTTGTGATCTAAAAACGAAGATTGTCTATCTAAAAAGGTTACCTACAGTTTATAATTATAAAATTTAATTGTTATTTAACGACAAAAAAAAAAGAAAATTTTTGTAAACAGTAACATTTTTAAATCCGAAGTTTGCAACGCAGTAATGGGGGACATTTCTGAAATTTAAATGTTTTACACATTTTTCAGTATGTAAACTTCGGCTAACCAAAGTTAGTTTCCCTTCTTGTCTTATGTTGACATTATATATATTTTTTTTCTGCGTGGATGAATCTGACAATGGACCGTAGATAGGTTCCAACTCGGCAGCGCAGGGGAGATCCACATTTTGATCCCACCTAAGGCGCGCAGCAAGAGAAATAGAGCACAAGTTTTAAGGAAGCCCAGCGGTTGAAGTTGCCGCAGCCAAAGACAGCTAATAAGAATTCATCATCATGCCTCACCAGCGAGCAGCAGAGGAAGAACTCTTCAATGTGGAAGGGAAGCCAGCGTCGCCTGCACGCGCCGTAATTGCAACACAACAGGAGGGCCGCGGATGCCTGGACCAGGAGCCACAGCTTCGAAGCCTTTCGATGTTTATAAACTTAAAGTCCGTAATCACATTAGCCCTGGCCTTACTGCCCAAACTGTTGCGGCTTTATCACCTGACCGGGCTTCGCTTCTCGCAGTCCACTTCTCCTCTTCGACATATTTGCTCCTCTGGTTCCACGATCGCTATCGATGACAGCACGTACGAGTGTGGCTGCCCCGTCTCGAGATTGAAGGCACAGCCGCGTTGTGTTTTTTGTGAGCTCTGGGCACAAGGGGCGTGTCTGTGGTGGGCGTTGCACAGAGCATTCATGATATAATTATTATATTGTTCGAGGGCCGCCGTTTTATAGCCGTTCTTAAGCCGTGGCAAGAAAAAAAAAATGAACGAAATATACGATTTTCCTTTAACATTTACATACCGAACCTCTGTCAAGATTTCTAACACGGAGATTAAGAACTGAAGTCATAAAATTCAATAATAACTAAAGGTTTTTTTTTAATTTGCCCAACTTTGTTAGTGGTTACCGATAGATGTCGCCAAAAAAACAGAAGAATACATATAACACTGTGTAGAATGTAAAATGTAAAGTATGTTACATTCATGTAAAGTTAAAATGGTTCTTGCAATACATCGGGGAGTTATTGATCTGATTATAATCATTCTAATCAGAACCAAAAATCAAATCATATTGGTCTCTTAGAAACAGTCAGAAAAATAATTAAAAAACAAAAAAGAACGATATAGTTGAGTTCCCCGACTATATAATACTTTCTGCAAGGGTACATGAATAACAACTTCGCAGATTTTTTGTTATACCAATATACTCCGAGATATAATAATGATAGTATACTTTTAATTTTAATTTAATTTAATTCGCTGCTACATGAGCACTCCAAAAATTCTGAATAATGGCTTGACTAATAAATTTATTATTTTAAGTTTTCATTTTCCTAAAGCAACCTTAAAAAAATCTAGTTAAGTATATTTATGTTTAATTTAAGTTAGTTTTTAAAACGTACTGTTTCAACAAAAAAATAACATTTTTGATGAATACAATTTAAATTGTTATATAAGTCCAACGTGTTCGTTATCTGTATATAATCGTTTCAAGATTAAATAAGTACAAGTTTTAGTACCCTTGGATAATGTATTATAAGGATACATTTCAGACCCTATTAGTATATATATTCTTGATCAGCATTACTGGAAGAGTCGAGAGTCGAGCCATGTCCGTCTGCCTGTCCGTCCGTTTGCCCGTCCATCTGACCGTCCATTTCTACGCAAACTAGTCTCTCAGTTTGACTTGTTCTCCTGACGCTTGTACTTGTATACAACTTTTACATTAATGCGTCACAAGAACATATCTAGTGTCAGTCGCCCCGCGTATTTTTTTGTGGTTGGGCGCTGGCCTTAATAAAAAGGCACACGACAAAAACAATGCACCGTGCTTATGTGGCAAGTAGGAGGCGATGCCATTTAGGCGAAACCAATCGGCCAGCCGGCAGATGTGGCTCCGCTTTTCTTCCTCAGATCGTTGATGGTTTAAACCCAGGTCAGTTCACAATGCGATCACCAGGGCCGTCGCTAATCTGCTGTAAATGAGTAACACGAAGCAATGAATATTATTGCAGCTATTGACGATCCTCCATATGCTCCATGAATCCGCTCTCCCAATCGGAACTAATTGGGAATAATAAAATCGTTTTTTTCAACCCTCCTACGATGTGTCAAGTTAAATTCAATCACAAAACAAGCGATGACCAGGGATTAGAAAAAACGAGACGGGTGATGGAATTTTGTTGCCAATACTTTACTTATTGTCATTTAACTCAGTTTTCTCGCAGAATGATCATGGATCACGTGACAAAAAGATTGGTGCTAGGATCAAGAACACGACAGCGAAAAAATGGCGATTCGATCCGCTAGCTTGTCATGATTGTCGTTCATCCCTGAGTGCACCCCCGGGGATTCGAACTGGATTTGAATCTGCCAGTGGGTGTGGTGACACCATTGTAAATGTCTACCTAGTGCTGTCCTGCTCACGTAAGTGACTTGGTCTGTACTGTTTGACGTTGGTGGGTCAAATTCGCAAAACTTCAGGAAAATATATTTACATTTTAGAACTCAATGTTCAATGAGTAATATACATCACTAATAATTTATTTTAAACAGAATGAATTTTCTCTTTTGGTCTGATTCGTACATTTTGGAATATGCTTTCACCTAAATAGGTTGTTTCGGTATCAGATCAAAGTTTGATATCCGTGTCGGCATTGGGCAGCTTTTAACTTAAGACTCCCCTCTACGACCAACTGCCTTTTCTCGTGGGGGATCGACGAAAGTCCATGAACAACCCAACTTGTTAGCCTTAGGGAAGTTTTTGCCGGTCCTTGGCTTATAAATATGTTATGTAGTCTGACTTGTTATTGTGAGTGATTCATAGGCCGGTAATCTCTTTGGGCAACCTTTCCTAGGTGCCTTTTTCGCTGCGTTGGACCTGTTGAGATAGCGATCGAGTCGATTCTTCGCTGATGTAACCATAAACGGGCGAGTATTGCGCTGATTTGTCGGCTCTACTACAAAGGAAAGACTAACGGCAAGTTCAGATAAATAATATTCGGTTCTCCACCGCATAATACGATCATTGCGATCTTTAAAATCAGACCGCTAGCGATTTATCTTTTGCAGTTTGTTGTGTACAACATA